GGAATAATTCTTATTGAGAAACAGCTCTTCAATTGTAACCCAATTGTCAACTTGACTGGATTAAGAGACTCTTAGCAATGTGACTGGATTGTGAGGGCACTAATTCCACCAATTATTTCATGGCTGAATGGACCCTTAGATTGTGAAGTCTAATTGGAGGAAGTGGATAAAGGGGAACTATATCTGGGCCTAGTCACTGTCTAGTGTTTTCCCCTGTTCTGTGCTTCCCGGACGCCATGAGCTGAGCAGCTCTTCTCCACCATACCTTAAGTTCAATTTCCATCCTGGCAATAGGAAGTGACCAATACATGTATTAAGCCTGTACATTATGGAATATTTAGCAACATACCTGACTTCTGTAAAACAGTTGCCAGTAGCAAACCTACTATTCCCCCGCCATTGTGACAACCAAGAATATCTCCAAACATCAGTGTTTAAATTGTTAAATTTTGTTTCTGGAAGGCAAACAAATGAACCATAGACATTGATGCCGTCTTTGAACTTCATCATCCACAAGTATCCTGGACCAGTACTGATAACATTAAGCAAAAAATATGACATTCCTATACTACCTTATCCTGTCACACTGTCTCTATTCTTTCAGCATGAGTTCATTTGGATAATAAACTGATGTTTAGGGCAAGGATGATTTAGAGATGGTTGCATAATGTTATTAACCAGCCAACAATGTGGGGCGTTAAAACTTCCTGTTCAGAGGTGACAGCAAATGAGCTGAAAGGAAAAATCCACAAAAACTTCTTATTGCCTTCTTGTACAGAAGAAATATGGTATTATGCACATTCATAAATGAACTACTAAATTTGAATGGAACAAACCGATCTCTCACATACTCACCTAGAGGATACCGGATAGCCTGTTAATTGCACTAGAAGGGGTAAGACTGAAGCAGTTTTCTCCCTATTAGTAGACATATTATGGTCTTAGATTTGGTTCCCTTTCCTCTAGCAATATCACCATTTATGGACTTTTAAAATAATTTATATATTATCATGCATCCCCACATTGCTCTGGCCAAATACTTACCTCCCAAAAGTAAGATAATATGCTTAAATTTTTAATTTTGTTGACTTTTATCAGGAACCTTGATTCCAAACGTGAGGACAAACTACTGAAAACTTAGTTCTGAAGACAGATGAAAGACCTTTACAGCAGGTGTCTTGGGGATGTAGTGCATCCCCTCCCCTGACCCCACACAAACAACTGTTATCTGATGCCACTTCTCTCATGTTAATATTACATGGATTCAAGAACTAAAATGTTGACACTCGCTATTCTGGTAACTCCAACGACCCACTCATGTTTTGCTTTCTTTTCACTTTGGACTCTTACCATTTTTAATTTTTGATATATAAGTTCAAAATTAAAAGTGGTTCAAAAAACTAAAAGTTTAAATTGTCACATAATTTGGTTCTGCAATGGATAATCAGGCAAAAAAGATAATTGTCATATAAGTTGGCTCTATTAATCTTTCAAGTTACTAGAGTGAGAGCTAAAAAGATTAGACTGTAGTAGCTTTGCCCCCATAAGCAGACATATTATGGTCTTAGATTAAGAAACAAAAAGGAATATAAAGGAAAAACTGAAGAGAATCTGGGGAATGTTTTACACTACCATGTACCATAGCAAAAGTAAATCAATAAAGGTGTGTCAGAAATATTTTGGCTACTATATCAGTGAAGAAAACAAGTTAGGTAATGGCTAAAGTAAAGATAAAATATTACAGCTGTATAGGGAGACAGGTCTCATGATCAGGTCATTAAGACAGTTAACTTATATGCGGATATTCTTGCTCTATTGGCCTATTGACCATTCTAAGTTTCTCATCTCCTATCCTTCTAAGTATTAAAATTAGTATAATTTATAGAACATACATAAAAGAACACAGAAAATTTAGAAGAGTGGACAAAATTAAAAGACCCTGGCCTTGACAATGCAAGCACTATGATAGCTGTACCTGAGAACACTTTGGTATTTAATATGAAAAGTTGTATGTGTGGAATAGAAATCAGCAAGAACCAGTAATTTTCAGTTGCATAATACCCACTTGCTCATCCCAAATGAATTTTAGATGCTGCCTTCATTTATAGGAGTAAGCATCTAATCTTGGTCAAAACTGCATTCTACAAAACTTAAGCCTAAACAGCAAGGGCGAGAACAAGATTCATTTAAACTCTCATAAGTAGTCTATTCCAATTTCTCAAGTCTCTTTGTTAACAGGTAGGAAAATACAGGGTCAGACACCCATGCTTGTGAGAGAAGTTGCTAAGTCGCTAATGTTCCTTCAGAGAAACTCTGGGGAAAAATATGAGGAACCTCGTTAAACCTGTCAAGGCCACCTAGCTCCTTCTAGGTGACTTGGGAGTAAAATTTGCTCATTATAATACTAAATTCTTTGACCAGAAGCATTCCTGTATTTGATATATGAATATATATGATATATGAAACATGGTCTCAAACCAAATATGCTCAGGCGTGTGCTTGCCTTATGTCCAACGGCAAATCTCTCAATTTTAAGTGCCCCCAGTAAGTCCTTGCTTCTTTTGCCTGATAAGACATTTTGGAAGTTGTTCCGTGTCCTTACCTGCTCCAAATAATAACTTTTTCACTCTTCTATCTCTTGGTTGATCACTGATTTTGCACTCACTAACCAACAGACCCATTCTATTTGGTAAAACTTTGCTTTTCCCTCCTTGACCCTAACACTTTGATTCCTTCACACCAGTTCTGAGTCATTAAATAGCCAAGTAAATTGTTTTCTTAGTCTTTGCTGCTTGCAAAATATGACTCTGATATAATAAAGAAAATAAAAAGAATGGGTAAACATACAGAAAATCTATTTTTAAATGACTTAACTAGAAGTCTTTTGGATCTTTTCAAAGAAAACACTTGTGTACTGGGTAATGTCCCCTCTTTGTTCTCTTTGTTTGTATACTTACATCTTTTCTATTTTCAACCTTTATTTTGGGGAAGGGTGTTACTATTTGCATTCTAAGTTCATTAGTTTTCAATCCCGTTAGTATCTTAGTATCTGTATTTGAAATCTTAAATTACCTTTACAGTGTTTTCCATGTTCTTACAAATTCACTGTTTGCTGTTTTTTGAAACAGGGTCTTACTATCAAGGTCCTACAAATTCTGATGTGTAGTGTTCTCACACTGTTTACATATGAAACTTTATTCTTTCCATTTAATACAAAAATAGAAATACTAAAGTACTATGTAACATTAGTATTGTATTTGAAACTCATATAACTTAAAGACTCCTAACTCAATAACACTTAATTGAATTGGGGAACACAAATAATCAGGGTTGGATTTTTTTTTAGTCCTGAAACATTTTTTTTAAAAAAGTTTATTGGTACATTTTAGATATACACAGTGTAACATTCATCATAAGGAGTTTACACCTGTACATATTCATTTTTTCCCATTCATCTCCTCTCCCTTCAGTCCCTCTTTCCCCTTTATTTTACAAAAGCTGTTTCCATTTTTCCTTCTTCCTTCTCCTCCACTCAATCTCTTATTCCCCTTCTCACTTAAACATTTTCTTCCCATTTCCCAATATCTCTTACACATTTTCGTTATTTCTCATACCAAAGAAACAATGAATATTTACGTGTCTGATTAATCAATTCTTGATGGAAAAATAAGATTAATAACTTGATTTAATGTACTTCAAAGCTCTTCTGAAGTCATAGACCTCAGAAGTCATAGACAACCCTACACTCAATATATTCTCCACAAGTAACTATGATGGTTTGCAAGCCAAACAAAGATGGGATCACCTGATTTGAATTTTACACTAGAGATGGATTCAGACTGCTAGGTAAACTCCCCTTCACTACTACTGCAAATAACAAAAGTCAGTATTAATACAAAGCAGAAGCCAAAAGATAAATATCCTGACTCATGTAACCAAATTTCAAGACTGCCAGAATTACCAATGGGTTCAGGGACCAAAGAAATGCCATTTGCCAACACCTATGCTGGCTTCATTCTCTTCTCCTGAGCTTGGCTAATCATAGTTGCCAGCATTTTCCTGGGCTTATACCTTCCTAGCTTAATCATACCTAATTTCAAATCGTACTAATTCTGGGAAGAGGCTCATTTATGTCTCTGTTTCCTTTGCAATCACTGTAACTAGAGATGAGAAACTGAGTTTAGCCTAGCTTAGATAACTATTTTCAGTCAATCACTTATGTTTATGAAACGTTTATGTTTGAAATCTTAAGTATGGAGAAAAGAGGGCAGTTTTCAAAAAAGGAGTGCTAGTCTAGAAGAAATAATTTCAAAGAAATATCAATCATACACATATAAATACAGACACACACACATTTTAGGGTCTACTGTAATAAACTTTTTAGCCATTAAACTTTACCTAAAAAAAATGTGATAGAGCCTTTTCAATTCAAAGGGAGAAAGAAAGGAGGGCAGAGAGTGAGAATAGATTTACTGTAACAATCACACTAGTGGGAATACACGTAATTGGTATTTAAACACATACACCCATGTTACTCTAAATATTTCAGATAACTTTGAGCCATTAGTCATGAAAAATAAATATTTCAGCATTAAAAAAGGTAGACTTTTATAACCCTGGTTTACTTAACAACAACATTCAGAGAGAGAGAATGTACTATACTGACAGATTTCCACCTAGCCTGGATAAACAGTTTGGTTACCCAATAGTTTCCTAGTTTTTCTATAACCAGAGAAAATAGTGTAGATCATCAATCTTTCTAAACCTGAGGTGACTTTCTAAACCCTTAAGGTATTTAGTAAGAAAAGGGAAAAATTAACATTTAAATACTACGCAAAAAAACCCTCCTAAAACCCCTAATATCACAACTATAGAAAAACATTTAAATAGAAGTTATAAAACTAAGTATATGTAAGTTTTATCATATAATCATATAGTATCAAAATACCTCTTTTACTTTGATGACTAAGTTGTTGAAACTAAAAAATGATTTCAAAACATTCTTACACATTAAAAACATCAGGTTTCATTTATTCAAAACAAAATAAATTGAAGTAACCATATGTACATCAAGATAAATATTTAAAATTATGAAAAATAGTAAACAACCGTGAATTTCTCAGTATCTTAATGACATAACTTATCTTTTTCAGCTATTTCTGTTAAAAAACCAATTTGACTTTAAACTTATGTCAATGTTTTTTGCTTAAAAAAAAAGACAAAATACTTGGAAAAAATGGCAGGGATCAGGTTTGCACCAGTTAAGAAACATTTACAATCATCTAATGTCATAATTTTAAAAACATATAAATTCAATATATAGGAAAATATGTTAAAAAAACATAAAGAACTATGCCCCATATAAAATGTAAATGTACCTTCTATTGAGTATATAGGTATAAAACTATTCTGACTTAAAAGTAGACTTTATAAAATAGTCGTAGTTATTTTCCTAATAAAATGTCTAAATAAGATTATTTATACCCCAAACAATATCAAGATTTCTTAGCAAAAGTGTAGCATATACATGGAAAGACATTGTCTTATATTTGTTTCCAAGTCTGATTTGTCTCCCAGTTTGATTTAAAACATTTTCAATAAATTATAAGATCTAGACACAAAAAGATGCGATCACATCTTAAAATTTTTAACGTCCATGAAATTTAATACTTAAGATATTTCCAAATTTAAACTCTAGAATGATGCTTCAAAGATCCTCCATAACGATGATTATGACATTTTTTGAACCACATCATGGTTTCTTCTTAGTTTTCTGAATAAGCAACTAAGTTATTTTCTGTTATTGCAAAACAGTCATGACTTTTGCCAACAATACTGTTCCAGTGCAGGTTACATGAGGCACCATGCCACAGTAAGAGCAGCTACAATGCCATTCAAAATGGCCATGCTATAGCCCATGTGGAAAGAATGTCCAGTCAGTTTCCTAGAGAAAAAGGAAAAACACAAATCAAAAAGAGAACACATAATTTAACATAAGAGAAATATCAAATTTAATGAAAGTATTTTACACTTTGGAATGTTTCCCACATTTTTACACATTAATACCCAAGTTAAAGAAATTGAATGTTTTGTAGGATTAGTAGGTAACAGATTTTAAGGTCTCTTTCAAAACTTTTAACAGTGAAAGAAAAACACTGAATTAACCCATATACTTATTAATGTATTTCCTAGTCACTTTGTGCAACCATAAAAAATGATTAATTTTCAAAAAATTTAATCAACATTAATAACACTCTCCCTGCTTTGAGCACTTATTTCATTATTCTTGTCACCTTCTAAAACAATTCTGGCAGTCTTTTTTTGTCTTTAATTGTGCTGTTGTGGTTGCCTCAATGTCCAGAATCAGTTCAACAGTTTTACCTTTCAGTCATTTTAATTTTGGGAAAATAACAGAAATTACACAGCACGAATCTAGCAAACAAGGTGATGAAGACATACTATAATGCTTTTATTTTAAAGAAATTCCTATAAATATTTGATCAAAAAGGAGTGGTTAAAAATATAGTGAACACTTAAATTTAAAAAATTGTATTGCAGTAAGATACATTGCCATTAATCTCCTTCAAAACACTTCTTTTGCCCACTGTTCTTGGCAATGTCTTCTGTTACGTTATTAAAAATGTAAACATTCACCATATTTTTCCATCACCAAATGTAATTCTAAGGTATGAACTTTGTTACATTATAAACATATTTTTGCATTAATTAGCATTGTGTTTTCATGTTTTTTTATTCTTACTTAGTACTTAAAAATCCATAGTTCAAGCATTTATCCTGTTTGTATCACTGTTGGGTAACACAAAGAAACTTTTTCTTTGAGCATATTCTATTCTAAACATTTCAGTTCTCAACCTGATAGATTATTTAACTAAAGTGGTTTTTAATGATTTCCTAACAATCGGCTAAGAGGCATCTCTTATTTATGATTGCTCTGAGTGCCAACCAGCTAAGAACTTTATGTGCACAGATTTTCCCTGACATTTGTTTATAACAATTTAACAGTTTTCCCACTAACCATATTGCAATAATGCGTTTTTCCTTATTCTAATAAGGGTAAGACATACTAAATAGAAAAAAAAAAAAGGTACATCCAACTGGTATCAGTAGGTGTTACCAAATTACAAATTCCTCTCTTCACTACAGCATACCAAATTGAGGGTGTGTGTAAAAATGCACTGTGAATCAAAATGAATGTGTATATATATCAACTTTAAAAACTTAAGTGAAGTTTCTTAGAATAATCTGAGAATATTATACATTGTAAAGTTGTCAATTTTCATTGAAATCTCAGAAGTACCTCAGTAGCACTGTTTTGAGAATGAAACTGACATTATGATACTACGTATTATGTAATAATGTGTAAAAGACAAATTCAAATCACAGCATAAAAACAAAATAATACTTACAAATTGATATAGACACTGGAATAAACTACTACATCCATAAAGATTTATGTTATGTACGAAGAGACAATTTCTTAATGGTAAACCCAATTTATATCCATAAAGCAAAATGACTAATTTCTTTGTACCACTCCCATATAATAAAGTCTAACTGGGAAAAGCACACAGAAAATAAAAATTCACATTGACAGTAAGTAAAATTATAGCATTAGTTATTACTAATACTACCAACCCATAAAAGTGAGTGAATAATACCTGGTCCCACTAAGCTGATTTGATTTTTCTTGTTGTACCATCTGAATTTCCAATCTAGACTACAAAACTGAATAAGGATAACAAACAAAACAAGTCTCAAAGCCTCATAGCAATATAATGGAAATAATTAATTTTGAAGACCTTCCATTTTATTTCAAAATCTTTAAAGAGTTCTGAAGTGGGCATAAAGATCTTTTGAAAATGGTACTATTGTTTTTGGAGATACTGGTACAATGACTATTTTTATACAGGATCTGATGTAGAAATTCAACTTACAATGACATTTTTTTTAGAACTACTGACATTCTCTCCATACAGCTAAACATTCTGTATAGATTAATTTTTTTAAACCATCATTTTGATAAAAATGCTTTTGTGTTAACTGGATAAAAATATGTAAGCAAAGTAAACAATATTGCTAACAAGGATAAGTTTGACCTAGGTTTTTCAAGGCACGGCAAAGGTTGCCAGACAAAAAAGGGGAAAAGAACAATCCCCTTCCTGAATTTCTATGATTATTGCATTCTGCAGAGACAAAATAAGTAAAACATTTCAAAAAGCTTACATAGTTGTGTACAGTTTTTTCCTATTTAGAAAACCGATTAACTGTTGGAGCCACTGAAGATTGAGTTAACATGCAGGGGTGTGGCATGGCCTGGACATAGCTGGACCTAGATCAAGGAGACACCTCAGGGGGCAGAGACTTTTTCCCAGATAATGCTCCTTAATTATCATTGTTGTTTGGAGGGGCCCTTGACCCCCTCCCAAGGTCCTGCTCAGGTTTCCTGCATTTCCACTCTAACCCCTTCCTTGTTTGAATACTAAATATGGGCTGCCCAGAGACCAAAGTTAGGAGCTCTGCAGAGGGTTTTGGTCTTCCTGGAGCCCTAAAGATCATATTACTCATCTCATTCATATGGGCCTTTGCCATGCACTTGCTTGGCAGATTTGGGATCTTGACACAGGCCCTCAAAATCAACATTATCGGCACTTAAACTGGGAATATAATTGCATAAGTATTTTAGTCCCATAGTCAAAGAAACCCAGTGATATAATGAAAATAAGTGAATTGCTTAACTTACTAATTTGAAACTTTAAGACTCAACAGTTAATTGGACCACAAAAATAACAAGCAGAAAGGTTAAGAGAATTCAACAATGAAAACAAAATGGTTCTGAAACAAAAGTTAGGATCCTAAAAATGGATTGTATTAGTCTTACATAAAGTTGCTGCAATACATTTCTGAAACCAAAATGAAAATAATATGAAACATTGCTCAATACAATTGAAATACTAGAAATACACTTACAAGGAAAGACTCATTACAGTGGAATTACTTCCATATCTTAGAAGATGAATTGTACAAAAAGTACTATTATGTTGTTCTAGTTCCAAAGACTTCCTTTCTAATAATAAAGAAACATGATGAAGTGCTTATGTGCTGCTTATTTGTGGTTCAGTTCAAGGTCTACAGCTAGAGAGGGGTTTGAATGTCAGCAATGAGCAAGGAGTATGGAAACAGAAAAACTGTTTGATCTTTCTGACCTTCCATTCCTTCTTTTACACAATGGAAATACAAACAGAACACAGAGTACAGAGTTGTTGTGAGGATTAAGGATTAAGTATCTAGCACACAGGAAATGACAGGAAGTATTAGCTACATAGAAAACAAAGCTTAGTTACAGAAGAGATTTTAAAATATTCTTGGTTAACCACTTTATCTCTTTTAAGCCAAAACCTAAACCTAAACCACCTCAAACTAAAAAATCAGTATCACTGTACAAATAAATTTGGGAACTTGAAGAAACAAACAGAAGTGTGTACATGCAAATACACGTGCTTTTGTTTGACATGTCCCTCATTCTACTTGTTCGTAATCACTTCTACTTTATAGTTTTCCAGAAAATCTATACTTCTTTTACTTATATTCAGATTTTATACACTGGAAATTTCTAGTAATCAATTTTAGTATTTAATTCTAACTTGTAAAGTGACTATCACATAAAAGAAATATATCTTACTTATCTTCATTTTTTGGGGAATAGAATACATTTGAAATATAAGATTCAAATAAATTCAATGATTCCTTGAGTTCAATTTAAGAGACTACACTCTTATTTTTGGATCACAAACTAACAAATAAGCAACTGCCAAAAACTCCAGATAATTTCTTGATTGTTTTTATATGGACGTTGGTTGATCTGAACGGAACCTTTGTATCAGTCACAAATACTAGACACTATTCTTTTGGGATCTTCACTTCTATGCCATATTTCTTCATACATTTCTTTCCCCTCACATGTAGTATCACATGAGATGGTTTGATGACAGGATTCTTATAATTTAATACAGTAACTTCAATGCCAACTGATTTTGTTTTAAGATACAAACATAATTAGAAATTATAGTTATTGGCTGGGGATTTATCTCAGTGGCATAAGCACCTGCCTGGCAAGTACAAGGATATAAGTTCAATCGCAGGAACCACAAAAAAAGAAAGAAAGAAAGAAATTATAGTTATTTAAAATCAGAAGTATCTAAACCAAGAATTTAGAAGAAAGATTTCTAAGAAAACTTTTAAATTATAGTAGACCTTCCATATCTGTAGGTTTCACAACTATAAATTCAAGCAACCTTGAATCAAAAATATTTAGGAAAAAATTGCATCTACAACGTGTAGACTTTTTTGTCCTTAATCCATAAATTTAGCACACCAGTATTTTACATAGTAGTTATACTGTATAAGATATTAAAAGGTAGAGATGAAAATATACAGAAAGATGTACACAGGCTTTGTGCAAAAATATGGCACTTTACATAAGGGACTTTAAGATCTACAGATTTTGGTATATTTAAGGGAGGAGTTGAACAGTCTTGGAACCAATTCCCTCTGGATACTAAGGTATAACTGTAGTTAAAAATATTCATTTGTTTTAGAAATAGAAAACTATATAAATTATTTTGTATATTTAGCTCTAAAAGCTACTTACTAGAAATTGTTGGAGATGAAGTTGTATATATCCCAATGATCTTTTTCCATGTTAACATAGGTTAGGATTTCAGTGAATGAATCGGATTTAACATGTCTCTCAAAAGTAAAAAACTAGGTATCATTCATTTATCCTTTACTTTTTATTCTGAAGTCCTTTATAACTTTCTCAGTTCCTTTTAATTCCCTGAGATTTACGGCATATATAAGAGGTAGAAAAATGAGTAAGAATCAGTAGTGCCCTTCAAGGTAACAGAATTAGTGACAGTGTGCTGT